CACATTTAACCTGCTAGACAGCATGGGATTCAGATCCAGTGCCGTGTCAGAGCCACTGGAGGTCTGGCCACATTGGAGCTCCCAGCTGGGGAGGCTTTTTTTCGGTTTTTGGTGTGGGGAAGAGAGGGGGGCTCATGTTCTGTACTCCAAGCCAAATTTGCCAAATCAAATTCCAAATCCGTGAGTCAGCCCAGAACCATAAGTGGCCTGGCTACCAGCAAACATCCTCCACCCGCATCTGGGGCTTCAGATGTCTCCAAACCTTAGGCGAGCATCCTACTTGCAGGCGCAAGCCTGGAGGCCCCTGAGTTTTGCTCGCCCTCAGCCGTAAGACCCCAGAGGCAAGCCAGGGAGGAGTTTCCCATTTCCATAAAGCAGGCTTAAAGCCAAGACCTTCTCACTCCAGCAGCTAAGCGGGAGGTTTACTATACATTACCTTGGCAGGTACTGTCCCCATGCCAGGAGAGCGGTGCAACTAGGAAGACCACCTCCGTGGTCATGGTGTTTCCCTTGCCAGGTAAGCATAAACTATGCTTGATTTGAGCCGATAAGTTCTGTGGCTGAAAAGCTGCCAAGGTTTCAGGGTCTGAGCTACTGGGGCCACAGGTTTAATCCCTGCAGCCATCCAAAAAAAGAAAAGGCTTCTTGGAGAGAAGTACCTCAGGTGAGACCCAGAGGAAAGCCACAGCCTGATCCCTGTGGGATGCTGCTCTCTTGAGTCTTCACTGCTGCATGTAGGCAGGATAGAAGAAGGCTTGCCCAGAAATATTCCCAAAGCCAGTGCAGCCATCAGATGGATGGCTCTGTTGCAACCTGGGCTTTTTTGAGAATAAAGATCTAGTCAAAATCAAGAGGGAGCTGATGGCAGTCGGGGTGTTACATTGTCATGGCGGATGGATGACAGGAGCACATCAATGCAAAGGCTGCACGCACAGACACAGCAGCACTGGGAGCACAGGCCTAAGGCAAGATGTAGAGGGCGTGCCGCTAGGCAGGGCACTGTCAGGTCGGGATTTCCCAGCCCCGGTAGCACACCAGCTCTAGGAGATGTGGACATGGGTCTGTCTCATCCTTTGCACTGCAAATCCATTAACCCCCTTCCCCGCGCTGCGGCCATTTGGAGCCGGCCCTAGATCAGTGTGTGGAGGGGAGGCTGCCTAAAGAGACCCCACTTTCACAGTTTGCCTCTGTCTTTGCTTGAACCCTAAATCCCCAGCAGCTTTGGCTACCAAATCCTGGCTCTCACTGCTCCCAACCCCCTGAGCCCGGGCGTTGCTCTCCAATACAGCTCATTTTGAAGCCCATTGCTCAGGGTTGCTTAGAAATCACATTCTGCAGCTGTCTGGTGGCCTTTCCCCTCCCTTCTACATTTGAAATACATTTGCACAAGGAGCAAACAAAAGGTTTTGCAAGCCTGAGATCCCCCAGGCCCATCTTCCACCCACAGCCATTGGAGCCTCCTTGCAGAAATGCATCGGTGCATCCTACATTCCTGTTCTTTGTCCCACGTTGCTTTCCCCAGGGTCTGGCTCAGAGCGCCCTGATCTCTGGTTTTATTTCAGTCCCATCTCTAATGACATGTTTATGTGATGGCTATTTATACAAATGTCCTTAACACCAAAGTCTCCATGCTCAGCAGAGGTCAGGCTCCATGGCAGAGATACAGAGAAGCAGGACCACTCTTTTCTCGGCAGGTGGCACTCACTAGCTAGCACTAAGTGCATTGCTTTCTGGTTACCTACAGTGGTCTGGCTGTTTCAGCACAGTCAATGCAGGGGTAGTGAAAAACCTGCACCCACATGGGGCCGGGAGCTGGCTGGGGATTGCATGGTGGTTCTGCAGTTGCGTGTGCTAGGTAGTAAAACTGAGCCTCTGCCTGGGGCCCCTGTAAGAGTAAACCCCGCTGCAAAGCAGAGGTCGCCCTAGTCTGACGGGTGACCTACCCAGCCTGGAAGAACTGTCTGCTTCAGAAAGGACAGCACCACATCCCACCCACCGCAAGGCGATATGATATCCCCTCATGGCTGGAGCTGCTGGACTGCCTTCACAAGCCACACAACGCCCCCTCTGCAGCCGGCATGTGGCTATGGGCAGCAGCACGTTGGGGAGTCTTGTCCTTGAAGTCCTCTGCTATTCTTTTATGGTCAGGCTGGAGGAAACCAAAGAAGTGCTAACAGATGCGTCATTTCCCCCAGGACGGTGTGTGGGCTCAACCCCGGACAGCTAAATACATACTTGGATGCTTCTTGAGCCGAGACTTGTTTGCGTCTCGGAGCCCCGGGTGGGAGACGCGCTGGGGCGTGCAGTTCCTGTCGGGTTTGGTGTGCGGCTGCCCCGGCGTCGGTTTTCAGTGTGACACTGATAATGCGGCCTGCCAGCCCGCTTTTGGCTTTCGCTTCCGTCTTGCTGAGCCCGGCTCTTTTATGTCCTGTGCTGTGGTTTGCAAGGCACGGTCTGAAGGGTTCGCTGACTCAACCCCGGGCGGCGGGAATCGAAGGAAGGAAGCTGGCTGCAGCCAAGGAAAGGAAGCCAGTCGTTTCCTTTCTGCGTCCACGCGAGTGGGGGCGGGAGGGGGGATGTAGCCCGATAAAAATGAGATGGGAAGAGACATCAGACCTGCTTTCTCCCACATGCTCTTGGCTTGACACCCCCCCAGCACGTGCCAGCCCTCAGGGCAGCGGAGAAAGAGAGCTCTGGTCAGTATTTGCCCAGTGCTGAGCAGCAAGTCCAGACTCCCGGGAACGCACCACCTCCGGGCTCCCTGGGCCTGTAGCAATTGCATTCAGTCGCAAGAGGGAGCCTCTTTCCTGTGCCAAATTCCCAGAAAAGGAGCAGCCAGCTGAGCTTTTCCTGCAGGTTGGAGTCCAGTTTCTATATCTGCCCCAGGCAGCCCAGGATCATGGCATATATGGTTTGTGAACCATTTCTTAGGGACTTCAGCCCAAATTTTCTATATATAGATAGCAGCAGCAGGAAAGGCTTGTATACAAAGGACACGCACCCCTGAGCTAGGGACTGTGTCTGTATCATGCAGCTTTCTTGCAGCAAGGCGTTCCCCGGGCCTTCTTCCACTCCAACCAAGCATCCTTCCAGCAGCCAGGGCAGTGTTTCTTCTTGCCAGGGGACCAGGGACCAAACTGTGCATGAGTCCTGGGCCACTGGGGCATGGAGCATGCAGTCAGTCTGGGCATCTCTGGCATCTCCTGCCGTGCATTTGTTAAAGGAACAGTAGGAAGTGGTAGGGAGGAGAAGGCACTGGGCATCAGGAGACCTGTTGGCACTGCCACTGCCCTGCTGTGTGACCACTGCCCCAGTCCAGCATCACCTCTGCCAGCACCCAATGCCACGCGCTCCAGAGAACCAGGGGGCACTGCCATTGTGTGCCCCTTTATGTGATGCTGCTGTTGGAGGGAGTCATCCCTAACCCCCAGAGTCACTTGCTGAGGTCAAGCTTTGCTCTTCAATAGCAGCAAGCACCTCAGAAAGGCCCCATAGATGGGGACATTACACCCCAGAGCGGGAAGGACAGCTCTCCTAGAAATGTCTCCTCTTAACGACTCACGGTGCTGTTTGCCTTAGACAGGTGCCCAGCTGCTGCCTGTTGCTTCTACGGGGCAGGGGTTGGCATCCTGGGAAACTCCTATCCATACTCTGGGGCTTCTGGGTGGCACTCGGGGCAGCAAGGTCTCCCCGGGATCTTGCACCCACCCCCTCCTGGCCCACTGCCCATCATCCCAGCCATGCTCCAAATCCAGAGCTGAAATGAGCCCCACAGGTCAGCAGGAAAACAAGGGGAAGAGATGGAAACCCATTGGCTGGCAAGCCCCCAGTCTCTCGCCCACCGTCTATTTATGGCGCTGCCCTCCTGGTGCCCTGCGCATTTAGAGCGTTTCATATGACAGGCGGCGGGCGGGGGGGAGGCTATTTTGGGCCTGTGAATGGGGCCTCGCTGGAGACTTGGCTCACCATGCCCTCATCAAGAGGACAACACCGTGTCGTGCCGGGGGGACTTTGCTGCACTGCTCTCTGCATGGCCCAGTCCTCAGCATCCATCGCTTCCAAGGTAGGACGGTCTGCGTCCCGGCGGCTGTGTCCTCACGCCCGCCCGGCCACGCTCCCCAGAGGCTTGGTGCGAAAGGCTTGACAAAGGATCAGGGCAGGACTGGGGAGGCGACTTGTTGTTTTGCAAAGCCTCTGCTGGTCCAGCTGTGTTTGGAGTCACGTTTTTGGCACCTTGTTGTGCCAAGCAGGAAGACGCAGGCAGCTCCAGGGACCAGAGCTCCCATGGTGTAAATGGAGGTTGAGGGGAAGTGCTGAGGATCTGACCCAAGGAGCTCTAGTTGGTGTACAATGTGCAGGGGGGGAGTGGGTCAGGTACCATCAGGTTCAATCGCAGAGGCTGATCCTGGACGGACTGTAGATGAGGTGTAATCAATGTGCTGCCCCGTGGAAGGAACCGAGAGGCCCAAGCTGGACGCAAAACAGATTAATCTCTGGATCTGGCTGGGCGTCTCTGTGCTCCGCAAGGTGCCCCCCCAGCCTAACTCAGGTGCAGCAGGAGAAATCCTCAGCCACCACGATGCCATTTAAGAGACTGCCCAAGAAAGTGCTTCTTCAAGTCTGTTTGGCAGGAGCTCGTTGCAGCATGTGCCACTGTTAAAGCCCCTTGTCCCCCAATGGGATGTGCAGGTAGAAGGCACCTGTCTTGTGCATATAGGAGCCAGGTGTAGGGGCGTCCCAAGTGGCCCTGCCCTGCTTCTGGGTGGCCCGAGGTGTCTGTATAAGACACGCCTGCCCTGCTGACTATGCCCGGAGATGTCCTCCCCTGCACCGACTTCAACTGGAAGTGAATGCGGATGGCAGCAGTGCAGGGACCCGAGCAGACGGGATTAACTGAACACACCAAGAGCTCAGAGATGGGCTGAGCAGCACCTCGGCCTCTCCCCTCCCTGCTGGGGCCCCCGGTCTCACTACTGCCCTGTTGCTTTGTCACGGTAGAGATGGATAATTTTGAGTACAGCATCCAGCTGAGTGACAGGGACTGGGCAGATTTCTACTTGGCCTCTGAAGAATGCAGCTTAATCCAGGCTGCCCTGGCCACGGCGGACGATCCAGGGCTCAGTGACATTGAGCAAGGGGACACTGTGCCCGGCGAGGACTGTGGAGCTGGCACAAGCAAGCCGGTCACTATAAGGGTGTGCTGTACACCTCTGCCGGGCAGAGAAAGCCACCCCCCATGCGGGGACACCAGAGACGCCGTCCCCTCCCAACCTGCTCATGGGCATTTGGCCCCGGAGGAGGTTTTGTCAGGCAGTGAGGACGAGACGGAGCTGGGCTCGGTCAGCCGGTTTCTGTGGGAAAGCAACCAGCCCGGGTGCCCCCGGCGCGCTGTGTCCATGCCAAGGGCCCAGGAAAGCCAGCTCCTCTCTCCCGCCGGAGCTGAAGCTCCTGGCGCAGCTAACCATGTTGTCGCACAGCTGCTCCAGCCCCAAGGCTTCCCGCACGAGGCTTCAAGCCAGGCAGCAGAGGGCGAAGGGGCAGCAGCTCTGCCACTAGCAGGGGAAGGAGCTGCAAGGAGGGGTCAGGCTGCAGAGGCACCGAGGGACCTGCCTCAGGGGACCACCCACGACCCAGAGGGAGAAGAGCCCCACATCCGTGCTGGGGTGGCAAAGCCCCAACAGCCTGTTCACACGGCAGACCTGAGCCCCCTGGCACGGGTCACGGACACACCAGGTGGAGACACAGCTAGCAGGCCCCTCTGCTCAGAGTCCACACGATGGGACCCACACAGCAACGTGCCCCAAAGCCCAGCCGCAGAGACCCCAGTGCCAGCGTGCTCCAGAGCATCCGAGCAGTGTCTGGATCATGGGGGAGCCTGGGCTGATGCACGGTCCTCCAGCAACTCCCAGGACGTCGTCCACCTCCAAGGGCCAGCGAGGCAGGGAAAGAGCCACAAGCACCTTGCAGCATCTGCAGTCAAGGCCACACCTTTGCTCCAGGGGCCTTCTGGCATCAAGGCACAGGACAGCCTGGGTCCTGCCAAGGATGGTTTAACTCCTTTGGTCCCACTTCCAGAGACAAAGGGGAAGGAGGTGGTGAACACGCCAGGTCCTGGGAGCCAGGAGGAAGCAGGGACAGGCAGGATCCTGCTCCATGGTGTCGCGAGGGCAGAAATGCAGGGCTCGGGGCAGGGGGTGCAGTGGCCAACACGGTCTGCAGCGCAGCCTGCAGCAGGACTGAAGTCAGTGAGGCCCAGGAGGCCAGCACAGGCTGCAGGGCTGGAAGCTGGTGACAGTGAGCCCCCAGGTGCCGTCGTGGAGAGAGAGGAGCATGTGCCTTGTGCAGCAGCCGAGGAGTCTGGGGAGGGCAACGCACCTGCCCTGACCTGGCCGGAGATTTATGACTACTTCTTCTGCAACGTGGAGGGCCAGGAGAGGGGGGATTACCACTGGGGCGAGGAAGGGGAGGGGATGCCCACGGCCTCCTCGGAGCAGGAGCAGCCGGTGCCCGAGATGTACGGGCCAGAGATGTACGAGTACTTCTTTGCCGACCCCGACAGGAGCAGGAGCGGTGGGTGGGGAAGCAAAGGTGAAGCCTCAGAGTCAGCACAGTGCATCAGCTGGGACCAAGCATCACCCCATGATGATGAGGGGGACCCAGGGGAAGCCTCAGGGGAGACCCCAGACTTCTCCGTCCCTGAGGCTTATGAACATTTCTTTGCCAATGGAGCTGGGGAAAGGAAGAGCTGGAAGGTGACGTCCCTGCGTGCGCCAGACTCTAAAGCCAGAAAAGCCATCAGGGTTTTGAAATCCCTCCTGGGGAAGCCAGTGCATCTGGTCAGAGGCCGGCCCCCTGACCCCAGGGCTCCAGCAGAGAGAAGCCCCCAGGAAAATTTGCCCCTGCTCCCACTGCAGCTGCTGGGGAGAGGCCAGGCTATGCCAGAGGACCTGGAGAAGGCCCTTGATCTTGCAGGTAAATGCCTGATTCTTGTGCATATGCATGTCCCTTCCCCCTGCCCTATGCCTGGGCCAGGGGTGCCCCTTTCTGCACACAGGTGGGTTGGCTACACATGGAAGCAAACCCCACAGTGTCCCACAGGGTCCTGCCCCACAACCATGCCCAATGCCCCTTTCCCATGAGCTCCTCAGTGTCTCTGCCCACAACCAGCGCGCCTCCTCACCTCCACTGCCCTGGGCTGCTTGTCCAGAATGAGCACCTCCTTCTCCATCAGTTTGTCCTGTGCTCATTTCTCCATTGCCGAGACCCAGCCCCACATGCCCATTCCCTCCGAATCATCATCATTACCCTAAATTTCCAAGTGCTGCTGCGCAGAGGTAGTGCCAGTGCCTCCCTCATTTTGCACGACTCACACTAACCAGGCTGTGCCAGCCCTGAGTTGGTCAAAAGTCCCATCCTCGTTTTAATTTCAGCCATGTTGGAGGGTACCCTTATAGCCAAAAGTCCCTCAGTCTCCTTAAAACACAACTTGGTTACATGCAGCTGGGTTTAAACCAAGCTGTCGCCATGTTTTCCTGCCATGGTTGGATTTTGCATTTGGTTCCTCACTGCCAAACACAATTTAATGCCACTAGTGCTGCAACACCAGGCTGCTTTGTTGGGTTGCCTCTTCTGCTGACAGCAGTATTGCCCCTTTGCAGAGCAAGCCCTGGCCTTATAAGTTTGCTTCCCAATGGAAGACAATCAGTGATATCTGAGGGGAGATTTGATAAGTCTTCAAATACCCAAAGGGCACTTACAAAGAGGATGGAGATGGCAGGACTAGGAGCAATGGCCTCATACCAGAACAGAGTAAATTTAGGTTGGGAATTAGGAGGAATTTTCTGACTGCGAGGGCAGTCAAGCATTGGACCAGGCCACCTAGAGAAGTTTTTCAGGAGTAGGTTAGACAGACGCTCGGCTGGGATGGTTTTGTCAGGGATGATTTTGCTTCAAGCAGGGGGGCTGGACTGGATGACCTTGTGAGGTCCCTTCCATCCCTACTTTCTGGCGATCCTGTGATATCACACGGGCCTCTCTGCACCGCACCTACTGTATCAACCCCACCACGAGGCAACAAATGCCTTCTCATAAAAGACAGCGAGCTTGGAAGACCGTGTGTAACGATGCCGTCTTGGGATGCTTCCCATGACCACACACACACTCAGGGACTGAGGCTGAGCCCTCCCCACACCGGCCACGTAGCAATTTAGGATGGGGATGAGACTTCGCCTTCCTCACACGGGCTGAGGAACCCAGACTTGAACCCTGCTAGTAATGAGCACATAGAAACTCAACCCTGGACTGGCTTCAGGGGTGTTCCTCATCCCAATTTTCCATATGACAATACTGTAGCCCAAACCAGAGAACCATGCAGCTGGGGTTTTGCTGACAAAACAAGGAGCAATGGTCTCAGGTTGCAGCAAGGGAAGTCTAGGTTAGATATTAGATGTTAGGGACAACTTTCTCACTAGCTAGTAAAGCACTGGAAGAGGTTATCTAGAGAAGTTGTGGAGTCTCCATCCTTGAAGGTTTTTAAGACCTGGATAGATAAAGCCTTGGCTGGGATGATCTAGTTGGGGCTGGTCTTGCTTGGAGCAGGGGGTCGGACTAGATGTGACCTCCTGAGGTCCCTTCCAGCCCATATTTCCTATATATAGATAGCAGCAGCCGGAAAGTCTTGTATACAAAGAACACGCACCCCCGAGACAGGGCGATGGTTGCTAAGCTATGGTCTAGCTGGCCGGACAGGGTTGTTAATGGGTACAGCGCTAGCAGGGAAATAAAAGGCAAACTGGGCCCTTCCCCCAGCTCCCAATGGGAAAGCTGTGCAGGCTTTTTAGCTGGAACAGATGAGGAAGATGTGAGAACTAGCATTAATTTAATAAGCTCTCTCCTCAGAGGTGACTCAGGCCTTGCTTATTAAGGCAGGCAGGTGAAGGAGAGCGAGGACGGAAATAAAAGGAGAGGAAATATGAACCTTTCGGACTGCAATCTTGTTTATTTAAAAGCATATACCCGGCTTAGACCCCTGGCGCCTCGTTGTTAATACTGAGTCCCATCCCTTAGTGACTCAGCAAAGTTGCTTCCTCTTTATTTGCACAGAGAACAAGAAGGGGGGCGGGGGAGGGACCCTTAATCTTGGTGGTAACTAATTAATAAACCTCCTTCAATTCAAGGTCTGATCAAATAAACAAGCTCACAAAAATAAGCCGGCTGGTGACAGCCCCTTGAAGGTTGCTAGATCGGGCCTCCAGCAGAGGCGAAGTGGAGGGAGAGTCTGAGACCCTTATTGAAAGCCCTGGAGAGCACTTGGGGAGCGGAAATGGCCCTGGGGGAACCGTGTTTCTGACAAAATTAACAGCAACAAGGCTTAGCTCTTGCAGGATGTTGTTCATCCACTGATCTCAAAGAGCTTTACAAAGCTGAATCACTGTTACCCTATTTTATAGATGGTGAAACCAGCTCTGAGAGACTTGCTTTGGGCTGTACATCAGTAGCAAAGCCAGGACACCCCAGCTCCAGCTCTCTTCACTGGACCATCTCCTTCCAGAGTGGATGGCCCAATGTTAAGGCACTTGGTGGAGGCTAGTGTGCATGTCACAGACTGCTTGTGACATCCTGGGCATGTCACCTAGCTTCTCTGAGCCTCAGTTTTTCCACCTGTAAAATGGGGGAGTGCACTGCCCTAAGGGGGGGAGTTGTGGGGCACTTGGATAATGTATTAAAGGGGACTGGGCAAGGACCTCAAACAGACACATCTGTGACTCTGTTAGCCCACAGCTGGTTCCCTTCTCTGAACTGATCTAGTTCGGGCTGGTCCTGCTTCGAGTAGGGGCTGGACTAGATGTGACCTCTTGAGATCCCTCCCAACCCTCATTTTCTATGATTCGATGAACTGATTGGAAGCTGCTTGCAAGCTCCCAAGTCCATTTGTCACAGGGCCTTTAAAAAAAAAAAACAACTGGATGAAATGAAAGATTACAGGGACCAATTTCCTCAACATGAAATAACCTCAGATTAGGTCTCCCCTCTTCCCCACAAACATGACCATAACCAGACTATGGAGGACAGCAAAAGATCCATGCAGCTCCCTTGCCTTTTGACAGCTTTAGTCAGAGGGGGTAAAAGAAATGAAGATGAATTTAAAAGCCCCAGCATACCAGAAAGACTCTCGCCTGCCCTGGCTGATGGAGAGTACAAACACCAGTATTTCATCTCAGCTTCATGACTGTGTGTGTTGTTATCTCTGCAGCAAGGCCCCATCCCCAGTTAGCACTAACACAGAAGGACATGTGCCTGGTCTTCGTTGCCTTCGCATCCTGGGCCATGAAGACCTCCAACCTGCAGGCTCCAGATGCCTGGAAGACTGGTATGTGCAATGCCCGTGTAGGAGGGGAAAAGCAGTTGGGGCAGAGACCTGTGGAGATTTGCAGGTCGACGTGGCTTAGACAGTGTCAGAATATAAAATACAAGCATACAGCCTATGAGCGGTCTCTCCCTAATTCACCCTTTGGTCACCTTCCTGTTCTCCCAAAACGATCACCGATGGCTTCTAATAATCTCTAACGCCAATAGAAATATAAGCCGCCCAATTCTTATTTCACTTACCCCATCCCCCTACCCCTATTCCCTTTTCTCTGTCCTCAACACATCACTCCTGTTGACTTTAATGGAGTTTGGAGAAAACAGGAGGATTAAGGAATAGCCTGCTCAAGAAGACACCCCACAGCTAATAGTTGGCTTATGTCCTGAAGCATGAGGGTTTCTGCTCCTTCACAGATGTTTATCTTTCCTAGACTAACTGTGCCCAGTGTTAGTTATTTTTTAAATATAAATACACAGTCCCTTTTCTAGGTTCTGCTAAGCTCTTAGCCTTACTAGTCACCCAGTGCTTGAGTGCTACAGAGTAAACACAACATGGACAGTAATCCCATCTTTCGCCAGCATACCTGAAATCAGAATTACACTCTTCTCCTACAAATGAGCCTTTTGTCCTGTTGCCATTTGTTCAAAACAAACCCAGCCCTTCAGCTGAGGCTGAGAGCAGTGCTGGGCACTTGGAGCAAATGGCTAGGCAAGGCTAGCTGTTTCATTCTTGGCTCTCCTCTGTCATTAACTCTATAGGGGTGGTGTCCACCCCTCAACCCCCACACCCCTGCTTCTCCTATGTGCCCACGTAAGTCAGCAGTGACCCCAAAAAAGTCATTGCCCTCTGCTCTCTTCTTCGTATTCCCCAAAAGAGGTATTTTTGCCTACCACAAAAAGAGTTTAGGAGGATCAGTGAACTTGTTGCCCTGCAATCTGTCACTGAAAATGCCATCACAATGCAGAGTAATGAGTAAATAGCTATGACCGCAAGACACAACCAGACAGAAATGGTGGCTGCGGTGGGGCAGAGAGAGCACAACCTGCAGACGCCTGTGTCCTGAAACTCTGGTTTGGAAACAAGTTTGC